CCCCAAAACCCCAAAACCCCAAAACCCCAAAACCCCAAAACCCCATGCTTTAGTGAGGTATTGAAACTGAGCACGTCACAAAGTGATTTAAATACGATTTGATTGTGATTCCTGACTATTCTAAAAAGCCAAGAATTACTATAAGGGTTGCTCCACTGAGGAATGAGAACATCTTGACCCATCGATATTTTGGTACCGAAAATTCCTCTACTATCACTTCTGAGCAAGCTATATAAACAAAAGTTCCTGCCGCCAGAGATGAGAATATGACATCTACTATTGCCGATTGAGTAGCTACAATCATTCCTAAAAGAACTCCTATAGGAGTTGCGAGTGAGAATATTGTGAGGACAATTATCATAGTTCCGACCTGATCCTTAAAATTTTTAGTCATGCTGATACCTAAAGACATGGCAGCAGCCCACTTATGAGCACCAATCGCCATTACAAAAGTCCATAGGCCACTTTCTTCCTTAATCAATCCAGTTGCAATCCCTTCAAAGATAGAGTGAACGCTCAGAGCCATTCATAAAATAATTGGTGCAAGATTTCAAGCGCATCTTTTCTTTTTATGCTTATGATCTCTTTGCAAAAGAGAGTTTTCTTTCTTGGTAATTAATAAACCGGCAATCCCATTTTCTAAATCGTCATTCTGATGGGAAGAATCGCTCTTTTGAGAGGTGTTACTCCAATTCAGAGCATGATCTAATTTGGCTACAAATTTAGTCTGGATTCTTTGAGGGCCTTCGTCTTCATCAATTTCATTATTAACTTTATTTTTAAGGGAATCTTTCCGGTTGTTGGTTTCTTTGTTGAGCTCATTATATTCTTCCATTTCAAATTCCACATTCTTGCTAGAATCCCTTTGATGGTAAGCTCCAGATTCATGATCTTTGACCAAAGAATGGGTATCAAAAACTACTTTATCAATGAGCAATATAATAGCGTAGCCCACAAAGGTCAGAGCAAAGGGTAGTGGAAAGAATGAATCATCATTCCCATGCTTTAGCCAGCTTACATATCCATCAGATTCGCTCTGATTTTCCATAAATTGACTGAACTCTTCAGTTGCCTCTGGCATAATATGAAGGAATGCGATTGCCAAGAAGACCCCTCCACTGAAAGCATTCGCAATACCGAGTACATTAGCACTTCCTTTGCACCAAGGGATAATTGTGGGTAAAATCCCTGCTACAAACGCCATAATTGCTATCCCTATGATAAAGGTGGCCTTTATTATTAGAATTATTGATGCCATTTCTCAAAAACAGTGTTGTTATTTCTATTTTTAAAAATTAAACTGGGGTTTTGGGGTTTTGGGGTTTTGGGGTTTTGGGG